AAACTCCAGAGACGGCATAAAACTCAGCACCTGGTATTTAAATTATATCTGGAGGAATACGGTTTCGTGACTATTCTTAAGGCAATATTGTGTTACTGTGGAATGAATATAATTCCATCAGATTTTATAAATCATGATGCTTCAAAATTCAAAGCAGAAGTGAAACTTTTCAAAAGCTTTAACAAGGAATCGATTTACTGAATGATACCATATACACAGCATTACATATGTTTCACGAACCTAAATCTAATAAGAAAGTGAAAATACTTTTGATCTGTCTTTATAATAGCCATAATTATATTTGTAAAATTTGATTTCTTCAAATATTTGCAGTATGCACTCTATAAATGATCACATCTGTTTTATAAATATAACTTTCTGTCTTGTGGTTTGATAATTACACAATTTGAAAGTGGAAAAAAAGAACCATTTTCCCCGTAAAGCCAATTTTGTAGAAATAACCTTTTTGAAGATATTTACGAATTACGATGAACGACTGATAAAGTTATCCAGTTCAACTGTTTCGATATTTTTATTGACTTTATTTTTAAATTTATCGTTGCTTGCATAATGGTAGAAATTCAACTGACATCTAAATTAATTCTTTTGAATTTCCTTATAGCTTCGTCATTAAGAAATTGAAACTCTTTAACCAAAAATGAAAAAGAGAAATTTAAAAGAAAAAAAAATGTTGTAAACTAAATAATGTCGTCACTAAATAATGAAATCTTTCACAATTAAATTCACCAAGAAAAAATTGAGAGAAGCATAGAAAATGAAATCGTCAAATAAAAAGTTAAAAAATACAGTCAATTATCGGCAAATTTTATGACTATTTTCATTTTATTATTTTATTTTTTTTTACTTTACACTTTTTATTTTATATATATATATATATATATATTTTATTCTTCCGCTTCGATTACGCCTTTTATTTTTATTTTTGCGTATGTAGTAAGGTTGTGAATCGTTGTCGGATATAATAGAAAATTACGTGATCGGTCATTTAAACCATTTTTATCAAAGCAAAAATGAATAAAACAGAAAAGAAAATGTTGCTTTGGTGGCTAAACTAAAACATCAAACGATTAACGAACACACCAGGCTGACTGAAAAGAATATAGCCATGAGGACGTAGAGTCACAAGGAACTATGCAAGCCACTTTTCTTTCTGTCATGTAAAGAAATGGTAACAGAAGGTTGGTTTGCTGTTCGGTTCAGATACTTTATCTTATCAGAATCGATCCGTGCATTGACTGTTGCTGTCAAATGTGGTCAAGTTTTCTTGTTATATACATGGTTTAGTTTGGTTTGTTTGGATTTTACGGCACATCAACCTCAATGGGTCATTTAATGCCGACAAAATTTTTTATTGTTGGTAATATTTTATTTCTTAAATTTATTTCTGTTAAAATTTTTCCTTCAACAAATCTATTTCTGGTAATGATTTTCTTTCAGAAATGTATCACTGGTAATAATTTTTCTTTTTTTTCAAAAAATGTTTAGCTGGTAATATATATTTTTCTTTTTTTTTTCAAAAATATATTGCTTATTTTTAGAAAAAAACGTATAGATGGTGTTGTGGTGTTGTAATAAATGTTGGCTAGGGTCACCGTGAATATAATCAAGAAGGAAAGCTGTGTTCTTGTAAAACAACACCCCACATGAATAATGCACAACATACACGAGAGAAAAATAATCAAGCTCAGTGAACATTAATAAAATATTGTATTAACAATAATATACAAATTTCAATAATAACTATAAAGAAAGTTGCTTCCCTTTTCCGTAATAAAAAGGGTAAGTTTAGCTAATTAATGTTGAGTACAATGTTGAATGTTATTTAACTACAAAGTTCAATTAAGGTCTTAGCTAAATAAAGAATAATTTCCAGTCTCTTATGAGTGTGGAAAGATGTAATGTGCACAAGTGATATCAATAGAAATTAGTAAGATTACTCGAATGAGTAATAACTAAGAATTAAAATGTCATAAGAAATATGCGCCGTGTCGTATTTTCCAAGAATTGAACTGCTACTGCTGTTAGCTAACAGCGAGAGAGTTTATATAGTTATGCATAGGCTCCAGTGAGCTTGGCGCCAAAAATATAGAAAGATACTGAAATACGCGATTTGTCAGGAAATGGACCAATCCGTGATTTTAGAGAAAAATTCAAATGATGTGCGATGGCAAAATTGTCATATGGTAAGTATCATATATTTATGAACCAATGACATTAAAGAAAGCGGAGGTGTGGCACATGTAAGTGATCACCACAATGGTAATATTTTTTATTTTCTTAAAAGCATATAGCTAGTAATATTGTTTTTTCAAGAATGTATAGCTGATAATATTATTTTTTCGAAAACGTGTAGCTGGTAATATTTTTTCAAAAACGCACTGCTGGTAACATTATTTTTTCAAAAACGTATAGCTGGCAATACTATTTTTCAAAAAACATATAGCCGGCAACATTATTTTTTTAAAAAACGGTCTTTCTGTTGGACTTAGTTTACCATCATACCCAGGACGCGGATGTAGATTATCGCCATACCCAGGTTGCGGATGTAGTTTATCACCATGACCAGGACGCGGATGTAGTGTATCACCATGCCCAGGACGCGTATGTAGTGTATCACCATGCCCAGGACGCTGATGTAGTTTATCGTCATACCCAGGACGCGATTTAGTGTATCGCCATGCCCAGGACGCGGATGTAGTGTATCGCCTTGCCCAGGACGCGGATGTAGTGTATCGCCTTGCCCAGGACGCGGATGTAGTGTATCGCCATGCCCAGGACGCGGATGTAGTGTATCGCCATGCCCAGGACGCGGATGTAGTGTATCGCCTTGCCCAGGACGCGGATGTAGTGTATCGCCATGCCCAGGACGCGGATGTAGTGTATCGCCTTGCCCAGGACGCGGATGTAGTTTATCGTCATACCCAGGACGCGGATGTAGTGTATCGTCATACCCAGGACGTGTTATATACATGGTGATTGAAAAGTAACTCTCTATTTTATATATGTACTCTCCTGTCGAATCATAATTTTTACAAGGCGGGAGAGTCCATCACACATAAAATAGGAAGTTACTTTTCAATCAGCCTGTATATATTCTTGATACAGTCCAAAGTTGATTATGTAATGTTATCGATCCTGATTTTGCATCTCTATTTTCCTACCGCCTTGATGTCGTTTTCCTCTGTGTTTTCTATAAATAATTTAAATGACAATTGTTCTAATGAGCTCTCCTTCTCAAATCACCTTCTTCTGTCGTCTGGAAACCTGTTCTTTTATTGTCCTTTCTCTTCCCTAAATTCTTCTCATTATCTTCCACTCCGAATATCACGTTGCATTACCTTGCTTGGTGTGATTAAAAAAAAAGAGCACAATAAACAAGGTCTGGGATAAAAATAAAAAGTAATAAACCCTGTATTTCTGAAATCCAGAATGTTATAATTTTGGATAATCCTCGTCGCCAAAATGTTGTAACATAAGTAAAGTTACTGAATAGAATAATCACACGAAGGTTGGTAATGAACGATAATACTTAGGACAAGAACGACACATTTTCACTGCGCGTAGAAGTAATTAACTGCTAGAAGTGAGTCGTGAATTCCACAATGAATCTCCAACTGCAGAATATCTACCAACCACCCCACGCAGTCAGATGTAGCACAATGACGAATGTGGGGTATCCGAGCCCGTAGGCTTGGCCAAAAATTCCCCGTAGACTGGGTCGGGTAGCTGTTTCCCGAGACAAGACTCTGTCCTTCGACAGAGCCTCGTCTGGGGATCCTCTCTGCTCGGAGACAGAGAGTTTGACGAATCTCCAACTGCAGGATATCTACCAACCGCCCCACGCGGTCAGATGTGGCAAAAGGCCGATTTTAATGTGGGGTATCAATTTACTTCATGGAAATTCAAAACCTCACTAACTCTAATTCGGGCAAAAAACCGATTTGGGACGAGAATCTGACTTGGGCCAAAATTCCAATTCAGGCCGAAAATTTAGTTCTTCAAATCACAAACTCTGTGGAACATCAAAACCCCACGCCAAGAAGCTTCTCTTTTTAACTCTGATTCCTTGGTATTTTGAAGAAATAAAATTAATTTTCTCTATTCCCAAAGTTTTGGAGATATTCTAAACTAAATTTTAAAACATTTTTTTAAATTAACAAAGTTTTTGTGTTACTTTAAACTCAGTATAAATTAAAAACATTTAAATTCACTATTTTTTTCAGTTATTTTAGAATTTGAATTTTTAACTGTTTCCTACTGATCCTGACACACATTCCAATGCTGGATGTTGAAGCACCAGATGACAAGGCAAATTTTCAATCCCGGTATCACCCTGATTCCAAAAAAGTATAATATTTCTATGTAGCGCAAGTGTGACCCGAGATACACGGAAGGATAGACAGAATTTTCCGCTTATTTTTTTTTAGATTAAATGCAAAGGTTATCGGTGTGGAATCACCAGGCTGAGTTCAAATTCTTACCAAGTCTGTTTCTTTAACTTGAAAAAGTCATGAACCTATCTTCCTTCAGGTATGGGTTAAACAGCAGGGTAAACATGTCTCTTGGATGGCATCCCGTGTAATAGAATGGAAATTCTCGAAAGCAAGAGAGCACACTGGACGTTTTTTAACATTTGTAGGGCAACTGGCCTAAACGGACAACTCTGAATTTGAAATCAGTTTGAAGAAGAATGGTCACTATCACATTATCTTAACTTTAAAGCACACACTTTTATTACTGGTCCCAGAGGGTTACAGGACTCGTGATCAGCGTCAAAACTTCGAGATTCCAGCACATTATCTTGTGCAACACTAGGGGTACTTTTACCCCGTTTTTAAAAGTCCGGCTTGAACTGTAAAACAAGAAAAGTTCATTTGGAGCCCACAGTAAATAGCACGCTTGATATGATTCAAGTCTCTTGTTGCAAGTTTGGAGAATTTGAAGGTCCAAGAAAGGATTGTATCAATAGGAAAGATGACAGCACAGGCATCTGAGAAAATAAAAAGACGGGAAGATTGGTGGCGATTGTTATCACGTAATCCCAGGCGTTTAGTACAAGAGAGAGAGAGAGAGAGAGAGAGAGAGAGAGAGAGAGAGGCATCTAATAAAAGGGTCTGACATAGATATTATGAAATTTTCACTGTTTATTTTTGTGTGATTTTTATTTGAAAGTTCTATTATATAACTTACGATCTTTAAGTTATAAATATTAACCACTGAATTGACAAAGAAGGAGAAAAACCTTGATGAAAATGTCGCGAGAAATAAATATTTGCACCTTAAAGCTACGGATTAATGATACGCCGAGATAAGAGACTGTAACAGAAAAGGTGAAATAGAGAAAGACATTTGGCACCGCTATAGAGGGAAAAGGAGAAAGAAAGAAAGAAAGAAAGAAAGAAAGAAAGAAAGAAAGAAAGAAAGAAAGAATAAGAGTATAGACAGTTGGGCAAAAGAAAGAAAGAAAGAAAGAAAGAAAGAAAGAAAGAAAGAAAGAAAGAAAGAAATATAGTGTAGACAGTTGGGTAAAATAAATAAATAAATAAATAAATAAATAAAGAAAGAAAGAAAGAAAGAAAGAAAGAAAAAGAAGCTGAATAAAATACGAAGGAAAGGAAAGAAAGAAAAGAAAGTACAAAATAGAAAAAATAAAGAAAGCAAATCGACAAATAATGGAAAATAAGCCAAATAAAATATGAAAAAGGGAAGAAAAAGAAGAAAGAAAGAAAGAAAGAAAGAATAGATATATTGTAGAAAGTTGGATAAAAAAGAAAGAAATAAAATATGCAAATAAAGAAAGGAAGCTAAGAAAATCGAAAAGAGGGAAGAAATAATAAACTAAATTAAAATATAAAAAGAACAAAATGAAATGAAAACGGAAAATATGTAAGAAAAAAGAAAGGGGAAAAAATAAGTCAAATAAAGAAAAAAAAGGAAATGGAATGAAGGAAGAAAAACTAGAAATTCAAGAGAAAAAAAAGACGAAAAAGAAAAAAAGGAATGAGAAGGGAAATAAATGAACGAAAAGTAGGAAAAGAGAAAGATAAAAAGAAAATAAATATGTAAAAATAAAAAAAAAGAGAAAGAGAGGTTGAACAAAGACAAATGAAAGAAAAAATAAAGATCTAAAGACGAAAAGAAAAAAAAAAAAGAAAAAGAAAAATGAATGAAGTAAATTAACATAAAAGATTAAGATAAAAATGGCTGAAGAATATGAAAACTGGAAATGAAGAGTCAATAAAAAAAGAGAAAATAAAACAAAAATATCGTGAAAAAAAAGAAGGACGAAAAATTCATAAAAATAAGAGATCTTCAAAAATTTAAATGCAATGTCAATCATCAACTGTTTTCTTAATTCTTATTGTTTTATTACTCTCCCTGTTTAATAGCATATTTCCTCTTTTTCTCATGCTCTCTAACACTCTGTAACTCCTTGCGTCTTAGTGGCTTTATTGTCTTATTGAAATGATTAGAAATAATATAAAATAAGAAGTATATAGAATAAGAAAGAAAATGAATAAGAAAGAAAAGACGTAGAGAATAAGAAAGAAAGAAAAAGGAAAAGTGGTAAATACTGAAAGAAAGAAGGAAAAGGTTATAGCAGAAAAGAAAGAAAGAAAGAAAGAAAATAAGAAAGAAAAAAGAAAGAAAGAAGGAATATAGTGTAGACAGTTGGATAAAAGAAAGAAGGAAGGAAAGGAAGGAAGGAAGGAAGGAAGGAAGGAAGGAAGGAAGGAAGGAAGGAAGTAGAGAATAAGAAAAAAAGAACAAGGAAAAGTGATGAATACTGAAAGAAAGAAGGAAAAGGTAAGAACAAAAAAAAGACAGACAAAAGAAAGAAAGAAAGAAAGAAAGAAAGAATAAGAAAAAAGAATAAGGAAAAGTGATGAATACTGAAAGAAAAAGAAAACGTAACAAAGAAAGAAAGAAAGAAAGAAAGAAAGAAAGAAAGAAAGAATGTAGAATAAGCAAGAAAGAAGAAAATAATTTTTATTTAATTTTGTCATCATCTTGTTCAGGAATATCCGTGAGTATTTGATCTGTTTTTGCATTAAAGTAAATGTCATAGCTTCAATAATGACTTCCTGTCAGGTTTTCTGTGAATGCGCACAAATTTAGAGTATATATCTAAAAATTATTCTCTATTATTCGAAATGTATTTCGGAAAAAAAAAGAAGAGCAATTATTTCTCTTAACTGCAACTCGTGTGGGTTCAGAGTCACGTCCGCATGCGTGACCGTCAGCTTGTAAATTGACCAATGAGAGCGAATCACTCTTCCTGGATAGGAAAAAAATAAATAAGAAGATGTTGGAAAATACACATGAACAGATTTGCTGTTTCGTGTGCATCAGAAAAGAAACTCAATAATAATAATAATAATAATTGGGTTCGATACTGTAAATATATTCAGAACACATTATCCTAAAAAATAAAAATTAATAAGATGTTCTGAGATGTTGAGATTTAAGCTGAGCAAGCGTTTCGTCTAAAACGAAAATCTGAAAGTGATAAACAAAATGAAGAGGATTTGGTAGATTGTAGATGTGGCCGAGCGAGCCAAACACAGGGTGAAGACAAAAGAATGACAAAATAGGAAAAATATAAGGAACATGCACTTAAGATAAAATAAGGTAGCGATGGAGAGCGAGAAGAAAGGACTAAGGTATAAGAAGACAAAATGCAGAGTCATCAGTAAAAGGATGAGCCCGAAATGCGCTTTGAAGTTCGGGTACACTAAAATCAATCAGGTGCGGATGTTTAAATATCTGGGAAGCGTTTTGACAGAGGACGGTAAGTGCGACACTGAGATCCGTAGACGTATAGGGAATGACAAAGCCGCATTCTTAAATCTGGGCAGAGTACTGCGAGACAGGAGGATTTCTTCGGTGACAAAGGAAAGAATACTGAGCTCCTATGTGACATCTGTCATCCTATACGGTAGCGAATGTTGGACGGTCTCCTCAAAGATGAAGAAGAGACTCGAGGCAATGGAGGTATGGTTCTTCAGAAGGATGCTAAGGATATGATGGAGCGAACGTGTGAGCAACGATTGGATCTTGGAGAGGATGCAAACAAGGAGGAAGCTTATAGTTAACATAAGGAAAAGGCAGGTGAAATTTCTGAGACACGTAATGAGAAAGGTAGGCCTGGAGAATCTGAGACTTACAGGTCGAATAGAGGAAAAAATAGACAAGTGAAAGAAACGCATCACATCCCTGGCGGGCTTAAGCAAGTGGAAGGCAGAAAATGGTCTGAGCGAGTTGGCAGAGATACGAAACTTATTGAGAGATACAAGGGATAGGAGGAAGTGGAGAGCCATGATCGTCTACGCCCTGAAAGGACACGGCATATAAATGAATAAAATCTATAATTACGACGCGAGCTAAACTTTTCTTCACTCCTTGGCCATCGGGTTAGGATCAAAATGTAGTATCTGCCTTTGGTCGAATAAATTACATTTTATCTCTAAATTTTGTTTCTGTCTTCGGACAGAACACAACAAATAAATCAGGGATGCTTGGTCACGGAGATTCCAACCCCGCGGTAGCACCTCCCTCATTGAGCCAAACAGAGGGTCGGTGGAATGTCGACGCGAGCGCAACATTGGTTGCGGACCGAGTAATTATTGGACTTCCCTCACTTTAAACCGTCCTTGTGCCATATCCCGTCGTTGCTTGGGGACGAGTAAACACAAGATGTAGTATCTGTTCTCCTCCTCTCTAATGGTAGTATTAGCCGTTTCCTTATAAGGAAACATTCGGCATTCATTGATCGAACGGCAGGTGCAACTCGAGTTACGTTTTTCTTCACTCTCTAGTCATCGGGTTGGGATCAAAGTGTAGTAACTGTTATCCTCGATGGAAACCACGTAGAATCGAGATTGAATGACTTGGATATTCGTGGAAGAATTTGGATATCCGGTTGTTTCTCGCGTAGGCATCTTCCGATGACACTGTGGAAGGTACTGGAGATTAAATGGAATTGCTGTCACACGATAACTACTAGCCATTGTGTCCAATTCGTTCAAAAATATCTAAACTGACAACTGTAGGCAACCACATTCTCAGATCAATACCTAAAAATGGCTTCCAAAGACTGAAACTGCTAGGTCATAGAGAGGAACATGTTTCTACGGAACAGGTAACTCGAAAAAAAACTGTCCTGGATATGACGATAAACTACATCCAGTAGCACGGCATCCGATTTGAAGAAAGTGGAACAACCTCCTAAGTGCTGGTGTTCCCAGGCCTACCCTGACCTGGGGTTGCAGCATGTGTTAAAGTCCCAGCTATGGGCAAATAGTTAACCCCAAACTGTGTTCAAAACACTATGAAAATAGGTTTTATTACGAACAATACATTTTTGAAGAAAGAATATTACCAGCAATACATTTTTGAAGAAAGAATATTACCAGCAATACATTTTTGAGAAAAAAAATATTACCAGCAATACCTTTTTTAAGAAAAAATATTACCAGCAATACATTTTTTGAAGAAAAAATATTACCAGCAATACATTTTAGAAGAAAAGATATTACCAGCAATGCATTTTTGAAGAAAATTGTTATCAGTAATACATTTTTGAAAAAAAATATTACCAGAGATAAAAAACCTTGTCGTCATTAAATAATCCATTCAGGTTGATATGCCGTAAAACAAACCAAACCAAACCAAACCATCAAAGAGAAAACAGTGACATAATAGAGATGTTGACGCTTCACAATACTCCAAATAAAGGAAGGATTCCCTTATCGATACTGGAAAGAGCGATAATAGTCAGTGGATTTGAGAAGTCTATTTTCATGGAAAAATGTTTAATTAGAAAGATTTTATGAATTGTATACGGACAGTAGCACTAAAATTTCGCTTAATGGATACCGAACATTTCCATAAAATGAAACGGTTAATATTACCATTAACATTGGAGATCACGATGTTTACTACTTATTTATTGTGATATTTAATATTTACTAGCATGCACATACTAGGCCCAGTTCAAAACTGGCATCATTCTTATGGGTGGTGCAATCATTTTTCTCAATAAGAACATCATAACGACGCGAGGTTTGAAGATCGTAATATGCATGTATACAAATATATATATACATATATATATATAATAATATATATATATATATATATATATATATATATATATATATATATATATATATATTGATATTGATATATATTCAATATCAGTGATAGTGCTAACATTTATTTGCATTGATGTGAGTTTGTGACACGCCCTTTGCGATAGTCAAACGAACTCAGGGTCTAAATTCACATCAATGCATATATATATATATATATATATATATATATATATATATATATATATATATATGAACAATAAAAATATTAAAAATTTAAATCTTCAGACACACCGGGTTATAGATTAATATTCTTTCGTTATTATTATTATTATTTCATCGACTAATTTCGGCCAACATGTCCATCATCAGGAGAACTATTTCTGCTTAGAATATATATATATATATATATATATATATATATATATATATATATATATATATGTATGTATGTATGTATGTATGCGTGCTTTTAACATCGGGCTACTGTCTCTCCACACCGAACCGGTTTCAAATTTAGCAAATCTAGTTATCTCAGTCTACTTTGATAATATATTTAGTATACTCGGTATGTATATATATATATATATATATATATATATATATATATATATATATATATATATACGCACACATACACACACATACATATATATATATATATATATATATATATATATATATGTTTACATAACAGTTTGTTTATATCTATTGCTATCTGTATAACTGAATGTTTGAATGGAATATATATGTTTGCTTTGCGAACTTAAAAACTTACCAAGTTGTCAGCTGCTTCTACCATCGATGTAATTATCAACCGGATGATTCTAATTAATCAATCAATTAGACAAAAATTAATAATAATCCGTCATAACGAATCAGGAATTTCAGTTACCTAATTATAGAATTCAAATCAACCTAATTTACACCCTTTGATTCCGAATGCTAAACCTTCATACAAGTTTATTTCGGCTTCGAATGCTGCCAAATCTACACGATAATCAACGTTCTCCCTCAAGATTTAGGAAGCTTCTCTTATCGCAGTAAAGGTTCAAATAGGACTTAATAGAGGTAGGTGGACTGGGTATCTAAGTCTGATTCCCAATATGGGTCACTTGGCCCAAAAGTGGGCTTCAGAAATATTTTAAATGTGCCTGGATACACCAAGATTTATATTTACTTTCAATTATTTTTTTAAGCTTTTCGCCCCAACCAAGTTGGGAGTGACACTATCACGCAGAGGTTACATAGATTAAGAGCAAGAGTAAAGAGGGGTGTTTGAAGAAAGGATAAAGAGAAGGATGGGGATCAAGATCAAGGCATCAGAAGATGTCGATTGACATTACATTTGAATATTTGAAGATTATAGCTATCAGGGAAGCAAGTAAGAGGAAGGGAGTTCCACTGTCGGGAAGTGCGAGGGTAGAAACTGTTGGAGTAGAAGAGGCGATTACATTTAACTGTTTCGACAGTGAAAGGGTGAGACCGAGATGCCAATCGAGTAGCACGTTTAAATTCATGGAGTTGGGGTACCAGTGAAAGTAGCTCTTCAGATCAGTTGCCATGAAAATATGTGTAGAAAAGGCAGAGGGAAGCCACATCATGTCTGTGAGAAAGTGACTGTAGACGAGATGCCAGGTCAGGACCTGTCACATTGCATATCCGTCTTTATCTAATACATTTTGCCCAGTAAATAATCGGTAAATTCAGAAAGACAACTTTTAAAAACTGGTGTCGACTGATGTGACTGAAAAATTCAGGAAGAATTTCTGCACATTTCATCAGACCCCACAGTCGGATTTCTTTTTTGAAAAGTACGATAATTTGTCGCTCAAACTCAATGAGGTCTTTAGCCATACGAGACGGGCAGGACGAAATACAAGAGTTGTCTGCAAATAACCTATAAATGACGAGTT